AAAGAGAGGGAGAGCTTGTGAGTGAGCGGAACAAGATAGCCGGAGAATGAAAAGAGACTGAGACTCCGGCCATCTGCGAGTCTGGCAGCCAGCCAAACCACTGCCCACAGAGCCCAGGCACATGCCTAACTGCCTCTTGGCAGTGGCAACGGTAGTCCAGAACTGCTTCCACAAACAACAGGCCGGTGGAAGGGCCCAAAACACAATATTTGTAGAAGAAGTGCAATTGCTCTGTGACAAAGGCCGAGTGACACTGCTGTGTGACTGTATGCATGTTCACCCAATCCACTGTTCACAAATACCTACGTCAGCAGGCCTTTATGTTTCAAAAAACTAAAATGTTTGTCAACCTTGTGCAATTTAACAATGCTTCCGCAAAAAGAAATGACGTGCAGATCATTGTTGTTTCTCACTTAACACGACAAAGTGCACCGCTTGTTCCAAACGACCCCCTTTTTTTTCCCCATAACGAAAAGGAGCACGATAACAGCACACCTCACCACCTGCCGATTGAAGATGAACTACGGCCCACTTTAAAAGATCTACCGGTGAACCCAACCAAGAGACACAACAGCTTTACACTTGTGTTTGCATCCAGAGGATGAGCAATCTAGCAATGGGTGGACAGAAAAGTCTCGTCCAGCCAGCTTATACCCAATATTTCATAACAAGCGCTAATAACCCGGCGAGATAAAGGACCAGTGAAGCCACATTGAGGGCCTTTGATAGCCATGTCTATGCATTAGTCTTTGAGGGAGCTGCCGGTGCTGGTGTGGTAAGGTTCAAAGCGGACACACATGGGTGGTTATGTGGAGCAGCGTCTTGCACAAAGCCCTAATGGAAGGCCCATTGAAGAGGATGCTCGCACAGTTAAAAGACAGTGACTTAATGCGTGGCTAATGTGTCGGGAGATGCCCCGGCTACGCTGTGGGAGTTTCTGTTCATCACCAACTAGAGCAGGAAGTGATCCAAAGAGATGAGAATACACCCTGCTGCGTACTGAAGCAACAGTGAGGATGTTTTACCGTTTGTTTTTTTTTTAAAAAGCTGGAACACATTGGGGAACTTGATGTGCAACTTTCCTCCGAGCTAAAAGGTTTGCAGGCACATGTGTGTTACAGTTAGTTAAGCAAGTGTGACAGTTTCTCTTTGTACAGGAGAGTCAAGCAAAACGTGACTCCACAACATGAAGACATGTTGTTGTGGCCTACCTTTTCTTTCACTGCAGGGCAGAAATAGAGGAGGCTAGGCTTGCCAGAGGCACATTTTTAAGAGTGCGAGAGACTCTGGGAAAGCAGGAAGTTCAAGTATGACTCAATGATTTATGTTTGTTCCGTCAGTGTGACAAGGGCTATTCATATAAATAACACCGAGGCACGTTCCTTCTGACAACTGTAGCAAGTCGCAGGAGTACGCCGGTATACTTTAGGCATCACGCTGCCAGTGTTGGCCAAAGTGGAAGCCAAGAGGGCCTCTATCAGTGGGCATGCACACATGCAAAGTGGTTTCAGTTTGCGGTGTATTTTAGGTCTAAGAGATAAGAAAGTGTTGTGAGCCTTGTTTGCAAGATAGTGTTCACTGTGTGTGTGTGTGTGTGTGTGTGTGTGTGTGTGTGTGAGAGGCCCTAGATATCCAACAACCACCTGCAAGATTCCTCTGGATTATTCATGTTTGTTGGAAAAACAATGTGCTGGTTTAAGGGCCTGTGTGATTCCCAGAGCCACCCCCGCTGTGACTAAATGATTAAAAAAAGAGAGAGAATAAGGATTTTTAAATATATTTACCTGTGACAGCTGTCTCGGATCAGGAGCCCCGAAGAGAGAAGAGCTGGAGCTGAAACTAATGGCTCCCCTGCGGCTGAGGACATGCTTGGGAACCAGCCTGTCTAGAGGCAAAACCGGCAGCTGATAACATACTTCCATTGAATAGTCAGGGCTGGATCCGGATCGAAAGTATTAAAAAAAAAAAATAATAATAATAATAAAAAAATAGTGAAAAAGATAACAAATGCAATGCGAAAATAGAGAGTGAATTAGAAAATCCCTCAAAGCCAGAAAAAAAATATATATTTTAATATTGTGGAAACGATCAGCTATCGAGTTGCAAAGTACTTCTGTTCATCAAGAGAGACTCAAAACTTGTCCAGATCGCCTTCATTGATGCTGCGTCTTCTCTACCTCCACCGCTTCACCTCCTTTGGTGTCATTCTATTGGGGGGGAGGGGGGGGGGGAATCTCATGCTGCTGTTGCATTTGCTCCTTTTCTTCTCATTTTACTCAAATCCGGGCCCACGGACAACGAGACCGTCTTGCCATTTTCTGGGTCTTTATGAGAACGCTTCCTCATTTTCAAAGCAGCAAAAAAACACAACGTCCGCTCGTTTGCGTTGCGTGGCGTCCGCGGATCCGCACATCACATCTCCCGAAATGAAAACAAAAGGCACGACCACTTCCAAAAAAAAGAAAATATATATATAAATATCATCAACATATCATGTTGAATGCAACAACCCGGCGGATGAGGTGAGGCGGCTCCAGGATGTGTGAGACCTGGAGGTGTTTTCTCTCATGCGGACTCACGCCGGTGGCGACACATAATCAACATGTAGGGCTTCTCCGTCTTGTTTCAGGAGCTGCATGATGAAGGAGCAGTTGTCTTAATTCACCGCCGCTGACCGTAAAACACAAAGTGTCTGGCTCAAAGAGGGAAACCCCGACGTGCATCCCGTCCGCGGAGATTCCGGCGACTTTAAAGCAAACGTAACGGCACGTGACGCAAAACTAGCAACAAAAAGACGACAAATGAACGCGCTAAATGGTGTTTGCGTCCCTATAACTGCCCACCTATCGTCCTAAACATTAGCCTACTGTATGGTTTTAAAGCACACACCACCTGCCAGAGATGGTGCTGTTGGAACGAGCAAAAAAAAAAACCGCCCTTGTCTCAAATCAACCAATGGCGTTAAGGCTGGTTCTATAACCTCGTCGCTGATTGGACAAAGGTGCGCGAGCCGTATAAACCGATGCATATGATTGGCTGTGCGGCCAGGACGATCCCAAGACCTACACGAGCAGTCGTTTTGCAGACGGCGTGGACTTTCTCAAGGGTATTCCTCCACAACGGGGCTTGCCCTGCAGCGGTCCACATCATTGCCTGTGATTACCTTCCTCTCATGACTCATACTCTCGGGAGCTGAGACACACCGGGAGTTTGAAATACTAGCCAAGGAAACACAGCAAATAGTTGCAGCTCTGTAAAGGCTGAAAGCAATTTGCTCCATATGACAACTCAAGGCGCGCTGATTGCGTTGAAGAGCAGTACTCTTTGTGCTCATTATATTGACTGCATGCATTATTTAGGTTTATCTGTCTGCACCAAATGCCCGTTAGATAATGGACCATTGTTTTCTTTTTTGTTTTTTATTATTTTTGCATGGTAAGCTTTTGCTGACCCAATGTAACAAATCATTCCACAAGAAAGAAAACAAACACACACAGCACTAACAGACCATAACATGAACATTTTCACTGGAGGTTTCTGTGCCATGCCCATGTGCTGGTGGGGGGACAATGGACGTGCCATGGCAACAGTCAGGCCCAGTGCCAATGGAGGAAAGCAGTTCCCCCACACAATCGTACCCCCCACAAAGAGGTCCTGCATCTTTTACAGGCAACTAAGGCAACACTGCAAAACACAACATCAAATGTGTCGTAGACAGCAGCAGCAGTGGAGAGAGGAAGAGAATAAGCAACTCGAGTAGAGGTGCACTGTGACCTGACCTCAGTTGTATTTAAAGCGAGATGCTGGTTTTTAAAACTACTAAAGGGGAACTTACGAAACTAGCTGTTTTAATGAGTATCAGTTACAGTAACAGTTGAGTAACAGTTATAATGTATTTCCCACACAAACCCTGCCAAAGTAGTGGAAATCTTTTTCAGAGAATGTGTTTATATATATAGACATATACAAGTACAATAACTACTTCTAATTAATTACTCTCCACTCTGGATGGTGTAACGCCCTGTGGCTATAAGAATACACACTAAAATCATTTAATTTGATCTTAACTGCTACTTTTCCTGAAGTGTTAGTGTAAACGACTAACAACTCACATCTTGATTTTTATAAGGTATTTGCAGCAAACACAGAAGGGAAGGTCAACCACACATGGGCGGTTCTGTTTTTTTTTTTTGCATTCAGATTACAAACCTGTTGTTGCCAGACAACTCTGAAGCTGTTTGATGTGGCATTGGACTGTGTCAATGACACGTCATGTGTGTGTGTGTGTGTGTGTGTGTGTGTGTGTGTGTGTGTGTGTGTGTACAGGACAGCGCATATCTTACACTCACTCCTCTAAGTGTATGTGGGGAAAAAAGACTTTCTGTTTATTCATTTCTTCCACAGACCTTTTTTTTATTGCTACATTCACACATACATGCAAACTAAAACTGTGTTTAACTACTGTATCCTCGGCCTCGGGAGCTTTAGTAAGCCGGGTGAACTGCATACCTGCTGATTGCCCTTGAGGTCACAGGTATGTGCTTGTGAGGCTCCACTCCGCCTGACTATTGTTTTGCTGAGAACTCTCTGGAGACAAATTGCAATCCGCCATGCTGTCCCTAATTGATTTACCTGTTACCCTCTGACAACACTGTGAGTGTCACAGGAGTCATTATCTATTGCTTAATTGCCCACACTGCAGTTTGAAGCCTGTAGTGCTCTTTGACATATATATATATATGTGCATTTGTAAACAAGCACACCGACACACAAATATTGCTGATGTTTTAAAATGCCATATTTGATGTAACTGCACATCTTATATTTTCCGTAACCAATTAATTACATTTTATCACAATTCACGATATATATGCACCTGTTATCTTACTCATATTAAAATGGATTGATATAACCCTCAGATTGAATACTAAGAAACAAACATTTTTAGACTATATATTAGATGCCATTATAAACACCTAGAAATATGTTGTGTGTATTTGAAGCCACCTTGTGGTGAAAAGGAGCACCTACAATGACAGTGTGCTTTTAGGATCAAACATTAATTAAAGACACATTGAGGTTAATTAGGGTATATGCAAGTCTACCTTAAAGAAGTAGGCTTCTTGGTTTGTAATCAGAGGGTATTAACTGTGTAGTCAAACTGATATTAGCTTTGTATTCTCCAATATAGTGACAACTACTCTCTATAATACCTGACATATAAAAACAACCTGGCACCTTGTGCTATAACACTTACAGTTTGAATAATGTGCAATGGGAAAAAGGATGTAGTGTAAAATGTCCAGAAGTGCTAAACCTAATGGCTGGGTCCCAGATAACATCAACGTGTGACAGCTTCATTTGTTATTCATGTTTCGCTGAAGTGACAAATCTCCTGTTCTATCCACAAACAAAGGGAAATTAATCCTAACAACTAAATGCAACAGCCTAACCTCAAGTACAATGTAAGCCCATAATGGGATGTGAGCCAAATAAACAAGTGAAATGTTTGTATTTTGTCGACCTAGACTTTGAAATCTGGGATGTGTTACCTTTTTTTTGGGGTTTAGCACTCCACCGTGTATCACATCATTGAAGCACAACCTTCTTTGTGCAGCAATGTGAATATGCATTAGTGCATCTACTGGACATAGCCTGTCCTCTTCCTACCACTAGATAGCACTCTTTTACTGTATTAAGGGCCAGTGGGGCTTTACTACCACAGCTCCTCAGTACAAACTACAGTATAATGCTCCTTTTTATCAGCATTGACATTCAGATTGTTTATTGATTGGCATTGTTGTTGTTGTTTTTCAAAATATGGCTCGAAAAATAAAATAAAATAGTGATAGCAGCAACAACAACAGAACCACACCAACTGTAAGAATGTCTTGCTTGATTCACTATCTCTGTATAAAAGAAAGATGACTTTGCTCAACACCTTCCTAAGTCTCTCTATCGTCTCCTCTTAGGGTGTCAGCCACAAGCTAAAAAAAAGAAACGAAGTAACTTCAGAGATCCATGAGAGTAAACGTTCAAGGGCTCATAATGTCTACTCATCATCTTTACTGTACCCTCAATGTAACCTGTGCAATGCAGGCAGGCTCGTGGTGTGTAAACACCCAGCTGCTGGATGTTGTGAAATCACCCTGGTTCACTGCACTTTGAATTCTAAGAGGAGGCAATGTGGACTGCACTTCTTATGGCGCAGAGGGCGTGAGGTTAAAGCCGGGCGGAGAGAAGCACTCGAATGCTGAGCGCATATTAGACTATGAGCTGCAGCGGCGACTGTTAAAACAGACTGACGTCTCTTTTACGTCATTGTATGGGAGAGGACGTCACATTAAAAAAAAAATAAAAAGGGCATTTACAAAACTGAAGGCTCACATTTCATTTATCATGCATATCCACTATGTGTGACCATACTTATATTTGCAGTGTCTTATCCATACTAAACTGCCTCATTGTGATGATAGTAGTAAAACAAGTCTGTATTGTCATTTAAATGTGTATTATTATTTAGTATTACAGATATATTTGTAAACTGTCCATAATCCTTACAAACTATTTCACCTATGAATTAGCTAACTTTACTTTTTCAATATAATGAATCATAAAATAATATAAGAAATATCAATTATGATAATAACAGTGGTGTCTGCTTACATTTATTTTCAATACTTTTTACCTTACTTTATAATTACCTTCACTTATTTATTTGTGATAATCCCAAGAAATTCAACATTGAAGTACTGATCATTTACAATGATTATAGTCATTTTCAACAGGATTACATTTACAGCAAGGTGACAGTATTTCTAGTTACTTAGAATATGTTGATACTTTTTATTACCCCAAGGGATGTTTTGAGGTCTTTCAAGGACAAATATGAAAAGCAGAAATAGACCACATTATCTGAGAATGCTTACAAAGACCTTTTAAATCACAGGCAACAACCGCTCATCTGTACGAATACAATATGACTCCCACCTAACTGAAATATTCAACAGAACAGATGGCACCCTTTGCTCTGCACCCTATTCTGGTCCCAGATACACTTTTTTATCTTGCTTGGGAGCTTGTAGACCTTTATGTGTGTGGTCGTGTGTGAGCGCAGGTGTGTATTTTGTGACTTTGGGAGTACCTGCAGACCCTTTAACTATATAATCAAAACACCATGTACCACCACTGAGCAAAGCAGAGGAACAGGAGAGTAGCACGGAGCTCTTTAAACTGGCAGCTTCTGTCTAGCTTTCACATTTCACCGAAGCAATCTTCATGCTGCTCTTAATTTGTCAATCTTCAATCTTTGTTGCACTTTTACCGACAGACGCGGCAATATTATCAGTCAGACAGTAATGGCTTAAAAATTATGAATTCACGTCAATCACAAAGACATAAAAGAACATCTTCTTATATATATATATATAAGAAAGGAGGAATCGGGTGAAGCACACATGCCTGTACTTATAATAAAGGAAACAAGTCTGCTATTTTACATTTTCGCTGATTTACAAATCACGAGTCACAGACACTTTTCAGTTGACAGTTGGATATAAAAGTGATTATATTTGGTTCCAAACCTGTGGTTTGTTGTCCCTCAGTTGACACCAACTGAAACAAAGAGAGAGAGAAATTAGAGAAGGTGGCTTGAGAATGACATTTCATTTTAGTGAAAACATGTCTAAAATGTTTTTTATGACTCACTGACTCTGACATGCTCATGTGAAAAGTATTGTGAGTATAGCCATGTGACCGTATTATGTCATGTTGGATGAAACTTTAGACCAAGACTCCCCGAACAGTATTGTAGAAAAAGCAACAGTATGAGCAGAACAATAAATGGGCAAACAATTATTGTTCAGGGGAGATTCCTCCTGAAAAATGTAGACACATAAAGTTTTGAGTCAATAAAAATACCTTCAGTAACAGCAGCAATCATTTATATGCTGTACCTTTAGCCAACATCATGACACTTAAAACGTATGGGGTTTTTTTAACTCAAGAATATTTCCTTTATCCTGTAAAGACCAGCAAAATGTCCTCACTTTGTAGGATTTCTTTCATCGGCCAATCCTTGAGAAGACATTCAAGCCTCACAATGTAGTAGATAAATTAAAACACTCAAATACAAGCCTGCAATTAAGCACTCCATTACTGGAGTACAGACGTTTCAATTTCCAATCTAAATTACTCTACTGATAAGAACCACTGGACAGCCGATATCATTTGTGCAAGCATGCAAAAGATATAATGTAATTAAAAACAAAGATGCGTGCTGCAGTCCAAAACACGACTTAGGCTACTAATTATTATTTCTTCAGTCAACTATTTAAATGTGTTTCCAGCTAATTCGTAAGCCATTTCACAGTCAAAGCAAATTATAATGTTTGGTTTCATCACTAGCTGCAAACGGAAGCAGACACTAAACAATCACCTCCCTTTTGAACAGAGTGCTTGCAGGTGTGATTGTTTTTCAGTTAACATGCAGATCATGCAGTATGCCTACTGACTGCAATATAAAAAACTAGGATCGTTCCTCCAAAGTATCTGCACACAGATGGATGAAAATGGCGAGCCACGATTCGCTGCTAGCAAACAGTCCCTCTATCGCCAAGACTTCCACGGACTGTATGGCATTTAGGGGAAAAAAAGAATCTCCTTCGAGCCGGATTCGAACCAGCGACCTAAGGATTACTACGTAGCCACTACAGTCCTCCGCTCTACCAACTGAGCTATCGAAGGGATATGCCACATTTGCGATATTTGGATATAAAATATTGATATATATATATATTTCTTTAATAGTAGTTCCATTTTGTGTATATGTACAATGAAGTTCGACTGTAGGCATTTTTTTCGTTCGTTATCCTGCAAATATATAAATATTGAAATTAATTAATAAATGTATAAATAAATACAGGAATAAATAGATAAATGCATAAATAAATGTATAAATACAGAAATATTTAAATGCTGAAATAAATAAATATAAGTTGATATCTAAACAAGACATAAATAAATAAATCAATTTCTACATTTCTGTATTCCTTCATTCCTTCATTTATTTATTTTTATAGATATTAGCAAAACACAATACTGACAGGTACTCCGTCTCAGATTTCAAGGGGAATTAGCTCAGATGGTAGAGCGCTCGCTTAGCATGCGAGAAGTAGCGGGATCGATGCCCGCATTCTCCAAAGGTGCTTTTTTCTTCTGACGTTGGTTAGGAAACCAACGTTTTAAGTTAGGTAACCTACCTTTTGATGGATATGGACATTGTCCCTTTGGTGCATAAAGTTGCTGCTTCGACACGTTATGCTAAAACTTTAGCATTAACATCAGGCTAACATTTACCAGGGGAAACATTTTGTCATGGTTTTGTTGACTTTTTAGTATTAGTATATAGTAAAGTTACTTATATAGCACAGATATAACTTCATCTGTCCATCTAACGTTGTTGTTTATATTATATATTATAATATTGTGTTATGAGAACTAATGCATTGATACATCATTACAATCATCTTTTATAAGCTCAGGGACTATAGGCAAAAATATACATTTAATTGGTAGGAGCATGTTGGTGATACTGCATTTTACGTAAACCCACATATTCATGGTAGCCTGGATATTATTTTTTATCGGCTATTTAATAACTGATTTCTAGATGTGATGTAAGGCCTCTACCTCCTTTAAACCCTCTAACATACACTGCACAAACAGTCACCTCTGATAACAGTGTGGAGGATGCATGTTAGTGAGTTTGGTCGGCAGCTGTTCGGTACTGCCCCTGCTCAGTTTCAAATATGGGCAAGGTAAAAATGGCAACCTTTGACGTGACAGCAGTAGCTGCTAAAAACAGAACTGACACCAGCTAGATAGGAGCCCACACCCGCCAGGACAAGAGCAGCAGGCCTTCTCTCTAGCCTGACTCTGGCCTACAGAAGACAGCTTAAAGAAACAGATTTTTGTTCCTCGCGTTACCAACTTGTGTGATCTTATCTAAGAAGGCTTTGTTGTTGTTTAATCTCCTGCTAAAAGCGCTCGTCAAAAATGGATACCATGGATAACCTGGAGAAACAGCTGATTTGTCCTATATGCCTGGAGATGTTTACAAAGCCTGTGGTTATCCTGCCCTGCCAGCACAACCTCTGCAGAAAATGTGCCAACGATGTTTTTCAGGTAAGCAACTGAAGAAAATGCCACCAATCAGTTTAGTAGATAGTTAAACCAGTAACTGTTTGGGCAACAAAGAGTACGTGCTTATAATATGCTCCTATAAATGGAGAGTATTTCGGGCAGAAAAGATTTGTGTCACAACTGATCACAATTGAACAAGTAAGGCTGTGTTTACAGACAGTACGGATATAATTAATCATTACCAGCATCAGCAAACATTGGAAGCTTGGGAAATTTGAGATTTAGTTGTTGTCAGGCGTTAGTCCCTTCATTAAAACACATGTGAACCGGTTTGGGAGTGATAGCAAGACAGTTCAATATTTTTAGTCTTTTTAGGGTTTTACTTTTGTATTATTGATTGCTGTTTCACTGGATTCACATTTCATAACTATTGAGTGAAATAGTTTCATACGTTGTTGCAAATGAGGTTGATTTATCAGTTAAAACCGTGTCCCATTATACTCAACATGAGGTTTGAATTTTGCTTGTTTACAGGCCTCAAACCCATACCTTCCAACAAGAGGTGGCTCACTGACGTCCGGTGGCCGCTTCCGGTGCCCGTCCTGCAGACACGAGGTGGTTCTGGACAGGCACGGTGTTTATGGGCTGCAGAGGAACCTGCTGGTTGAGAACATCATTGACATGTTCAAACAGGAGTCCAGCAGGTGAAACAGACCAGATACACAGACGTGCTCTGTTCAGTTTCTCTTGACAGAGGACAAAATCTAAGTCAATGGCGGTCGCTTTACTACAGTTTCACCTTTAGAGTTCGGAGAAAAGCTTTGTTTATCAGGCAAAGGGCCATGAAAAGATGATAGTAAAAGAGAACTAGGATAAACTGGTGGTGCGATGACAGGTTTCTGGTTTTAGTCATCCATCCACACAGATGACTTCCTTGATCTGAGTAGTTGGCTGTAGGCCTTTCTGACATAAGATCCACAACACTCAACAACCTCATACTGGATCAAGATTTTGTGGCATTATTGTAAGTTTTACGGATATTTTTACTGATATTTTGATTTGTTTTTATGGGATAAATTGACCTGAGAATGTGAGTATGAGTTATACAGGAAAGATAGACATCCATAGAAACATAACGGTACACAAGTGCACCCACACCTGTATTCTACAGAGTGTAATAGCGATGTATTGATCACAGTGCTGACAGGCAATGTGCACGGCAAGGCCGCGCTGATGGATCGTCAATAAGCTACCGAGATGTGTACCTGTGACATTATCAAACCGACATTACATGTCACATCAGTATGCACTGAAATGTGCGGCCTAACAGGAAGATGATACTGTTTTCTTTAAACCTCAACAGCACCAAGCCAGCGCCGGAGAGAAAGGAGGAAATGCCCATGTGTGATGTTCACGAAGAAGAAAAGATCAACATTTACTGTGTGACCCACGGTGTGCCCACGTGCTCCATGTGTAAGGTATTCGGAGCTCACAAAGACTGTGAGGTGGCGCCCATCACCAGCATCTACCAGTCAAAGAAGGTGAGGCCTGAGATACTCATGGAGATCCTCAATACTGTCTATCATGAGAGTATCAGAAATATTGAGAGTTTACCCTGCCACGTCCTTGCCCCCCCCCCCCAGACGGAGCTGAGTGACGGGATTGCCATGGTGGTTGGTAACAATGACAGGATGCAAGGCATCATCAGTCAGCTAGAGGAGGCCTGTCGTGCCATAGAGGTCAGTGTCCAACTGGCCGCTCACTCACGCAGCAAGCCTCGCTCTGTGCACAGGCTAATGCACCTGCACTCACCTGCACAGACGCACAAACAGACGCGACGTGTCCTTGTCGCTGCCACTCTGTCTGCTTTCATCTGAGATGTGGGCGGAGAGGGGGGAAATTAATGTTTTGGTGCCTCGGTCTGTCTTACACTCTCTTTTCCACATTTTCTTCGACATGCACTTAGCGAGTGCACTTTACTCTGCCTCTGGCCCATTGACATAAAAAATGAGCAGTGTAAATTGACAGGGGGGGGGGGGGGGGGCTGACAGACAGCTTTCCTATAGTTCACGTGCCGCAGTTGGACATATTTGGGAGGAAGTCCAGTCCCTCAATGGTGTCACTCAGGATGAATAAACAGAATGAAGACAGTACACACAAAGCAACAACTATGACTAACTTTTCTGAATATTCTTAACTCTGTTGTACCCTAGAGTAGCATTTACATACATTTTCTCCCCCATAAGACTGCGATGAATGATTCATATGAATGTGTCTTCTTCTGTCTCGTACTGGTGGATGTATAGGAGAACGGTCGGAGGCAGAAGACGCTGGTGTGTGAGAGGTTTGACCAGCTCTACTCCATCCTGGAGGGGAAGAAGAGAGAGATGGGTCAGAAGGTGACCGTCGAACAGGACGAGAAGGTGAACTATATCCGGGGCCTGACCAGGAAGTATGGAGACCATCTGGAGGAGAGCTGTAAGATGGTGGAGTTGGGCATCCAGACTATGGAGGAGCCAGAAATGGCTTTATTTCTACAGGTCAGAGTCAACACCAAAAAAAAATGGTTACATTTATCAATATTTGATCATATTTAGTTTTTAGTTATTTAGTCTTTTCTGTCTCTTTCAGAACACAAAGCCTCTCCTCAAAAAGTGAGTCTTTGTGCATCTCAGAATACACCGACAATAGGGGAAATACAGTATAGTATGTAACAACATATTGACAATTTAAGATTATAATCCTGTTCTTGTGAATGATTCACCAAATATACATCTGCACCTAAACCCCCAAACCTATAGTGCAGCAAGGTCACACCTGCTCTCTAGGAGCTGTCGACAGTATTTCTGCAAAATGCTGCAGATCAGTTATCTTTAGCTGGGGTGTCCCGAAATAACTCTCGGAACGTGCTAAACATTACAGATTGATTATTTATAACAAGTGTTACATTAACTGTTTTTCACCATAAATAATGCACATTGCACCTTTTGCTCTCAGGCTGGCAGAAGCATCCAGTACAGCACACTTGGACAAAGTTGAACGTGGCTATGAGAATATGGATCATTACACCGCCGACTTCAAGAAGGAGGGCCTGGCCCTGCGCGGCCTCGACTTCCTCCAAGGTGAACAGGCAGAGTTGGCGGTGGCAGCAGTTGGCATGCTTACAGCTCCGGCTTGTAGTAATCAGACTTTTTGTTGTTTTGTTGCTATATTCTCTTCTACAGATGATGAAGACGAGGACGAAGAGGATGAGGACGGAGAAGCAGTCACGGAGGAAGGCGAGGGGGCCCAGACTGTTTCGGGAGGCAGTGCTGTCACAGCCGCCTCCGTCCAACCTTCTGCCCCGCAGCAGAGTAACTCTTCCCCAAGCGCAGCCAAGAGCGCTGCCTCCTCCTAGCTGTCAGCCGCCGGCCCAGAAAAACACCTAATCCGGGAGCAACGATACGTTCTTTTTGCTCCTAGATGTTGATTTCAGGTCAGTTGTGATACTTTTCCCCCCAGATTGGGGAACACGAGACAGATTTAGATCTGCGCCGAAGGGGAACTCTGAGTTGCCGAGGTAGATCTAAAGGAAGAGACAGAAGTTTCAATTCCCTTCTCTCTGTCTAATATTGGGATTATGTCGGCGTGCATCACTGCATGCTGACTGATCTTATATGTTTTTTGTCTGGTTAAACACACATTTTGGCTCCTTCTTGCTTTTTTTTTTTTTACATATGACAAGCAGGCTGTGAGGTGGTTATTTCCAGAATTCATACATTTTTTTTATGGAGCTGACCTTTTGGGATTCACCGCTTAAACTAATTAGCGAGCATGACAAGAGGGCCTCGGGTTTCCCCCCCGGTCGTACTCTTTTTTTTATGACTGGTATAACTTTATGAGTAGGTAGCAGAATAAATAACTCTCACAGTGACATTTCAGTCTTTCATACACTTGACAGCCTGTATTATGTGTCGTATGCTTTATTGTATAACCCAGGTATACTTTCCTACATGGACAAAGCATCACATTTTGACATGTAACAGTGTATTATATATCATTAAAACTGAACTGTACAAACGCCTAAAGTGTTTCTCAAATGTTGGATTAACAAAAATACAACTGTACCATGTATCCCTGTACTTCACGCCTCCCCCTGGACTGAATTACAAATTACATTTTTTTTTTTTATGTAACACCCCCGTGTGTCTGTGTGTGCGCATGTGCAAAGAAAAATACACAAGTTTCTATTTCTCTTGTCCTTTATCTCTTCTTCACTTTCCTTTCCAATTATTTTTGGCAAAGGAAATCCATTTAGGAAATGATCATTTTTATAGCTTGTTGTTCTCTATAACTTCTATACTTCTCTACAGTATATGGTTGTGACGCCATTCCTGCCTACGACCTACTGTACATATCAGACTGCAGCCAGCCTCAAACCTCCAGTTATCTAGTTGTTGCCTTGCAATGGTCTCGTCTTGCTGTGACTCCACTATTGAGGTAGACCACCACTGCGTCCCATCTAATTATTGTACACCGTCTCTCAGTGAGTTGGATCCTTTACAAATGGACTCAATGCAGCACTAAGCCCCAAGTAGCAAAGTGGGCCAAACTGAATGGGATGACTCACACCCACAGCTCTTGTTTAGTTACACTATGGGTCAAGGATCAGCACAGCGTGCACACACACACACACACACACACACACACATGGATATAAGCGCGCACACACACGGCGTCTTTCACACTCATTAGCTATCAGTGGTGCATCGTTCAGCTGTCCGTTGTTGCCCTTTGCTGGTACAATGAGAATTGCTTAATGAGGATTAAGGGTTTAGGAGAAAGAATGCTGTATGGATGTTCTTCACCTGCATGACTGCATGCGCTCTTACAGCACCCTGAGAAACATCTTTTGGTAAATGTTTGTTGTTGCAGCTCTTTTCATATGTGTCAGAGAGGAGGCACGGCGCTAACCCACGACTTGGCTCCAGAGCAATGCCATGGTTACACCATATAGGGTTTTTATATTCAGTTACAATCAATATTTGTGGAGGCAAGACTCGAGATGCAGTGGCCATTTTTGCTCTCTCAACCTACGGTCAACTTATATTCAATTTGTGCTATGTAAGATTACAAATCTATATGTCAAGAAACATTAGGAAAGTGTATGTTAAATCAATTAGTGATTAAAGTAAATGGTAATAGCTCATTTTCAAGGGAGTTATTATTAATTTATATGTAAGGATATCCACAGAGAAGTCTAAGCATTGCTTTTAAACTTTTATTACAAAATATAGATATAAGATGTTCTCTTGCACAACAGAAAATGACTGGTTGCACATAAGTTTATTAACAAACATAAATATCATAAATACAAGGATTCATAATTTAAAACAAAACGCCATTTTTTTCAATGCAGTATTTCATGTCTCAACCAAAAGCATTTCATCTCAAATATGAAGAACGTGTGATTCTACATATTTGACACCAACATTAAAATGGCACGGTACAATCGGATCATTATAAGTCAAGCCCGTTTACGCTCCAGTTTGAGGTTAAAGCTATAAATAATAGAGTGATAAAGCAGCACTATATTGTACAGAGCATGTTTTGTGCTGATGGTCAAAATGCAACAAAAAGAAAAGAAAAGAAAGAGAAGGGAGATCTTTGGCGGATGGAAAGAGGTCTTCATTTCCCGAAGAGCTCCATCATTCTTCTGTTATTTTGCGCTTGCTGAGCCATCTGTTCCGCCTTGGACATCTCCATCATCTCCCGCAGCAGGTGGAAGGTCAGATCCAGGGATATCGGCGGGTCCTCGGACCTCCTTCCCCTCTCCATCGACTCGTCCCCGCGGTCTCCGAAGCCGCTTGTGAGCGCCCTGATGTTTCCAACTTTCCCTTGTAAAAGACGCCGTGTCAGCTGGAGTTGCAATGCTCTGTTGTAGATGGCAGGTGATCCGCCGGGATACATGGACGATGATGGGAAAGAGTTAGTGTCCCCATTGCCCAGTCGGATGAAATACTCCTCTCCGAGTCGCTCCAGGATGGGGCCAGACTGCTGCTGCTGCTGCTGCTGGGAGTTTTGGGTTTGGGGAGCTGGGACGCGCAGGGCACCGCCAGGGTTCTCAATAGCCCGACATTCGTAGAGCGGTAAGAAGGCAACTAGCAGAATCACGGTGGTGCCAAATAAATTGAGCTTCATGTCAGGATATCAACAGAAATCTGAGAAGAAAATCAAAAACTTGGATTATATTTTTTAATCCCAACTCTAGTGTAAACTGTGCAGCGTAAAGAAGAATTGACGCACATAAAACAGGCATCGCATTTCTGCAACTGTGTTGGAACTAAATAAAAGTGTTGCTGCTTATTTATGTTTTGAGAGATTTTGTGATACACTTCAATCTGCACTAGTTATACGAAATAGTCTTGGTTATTTAGTCCGAAAAGAGAGATTGGTTTTCTGGTTTAGTAATGGATAAACACTGGAAGTTGAATTATGATTGCCTGCTATCTTTACTTGTTTCCAGCTTTATAAAACAAAATCAAGTTTGAACATGCAGTGCAATCACTAAGGACAAAACCCACTTGGTAAATTAAGTCCTGCCGAGAAAAAATGAGAGAAATCCAAAAAATGCATGCAGGAAAAAAAAAGATCTTCATACCTTCAATCTTTAGAGGAGGTCCAGTACAGCCTTGTAGTTTGCCAGGTAGTTGGCGAGATGCCTCCCTCCTTCACTTCTCTGAAGAAACAAGTACACAGTTACTTAAAGAGTAGATGCTGAATGGATTTATATAGCCACCCTCACAAGTGTCGCGCTCCAAACTGAGATTGAGTCTGCGCGTTCTTGCTTGGGTGTAACGTGAATGGACGCCTCTGACAAAGTGCTTTAGTTTAAACGAGATGAGTCATATGTAAGTGTGCGCGCGCGTGCACCAGCGTCTCCTTCCGTGCTTTCAGAATAGGCCTATAGGTGCCACACCTGCTGGCATTTTCACTCGAGAGGCGAATGCTCAAAAGTGAAAAGACTTAAGTCAAGATAAGTTTTACATAATGATATTTTTTTTCTGTATCTCAGTCACATATGTGCAGAATCTTTAAATATGTTTTGCATGACAAAAATATTCCTTATCAAACATAAAACTACAGTGAGTGTTATTTTTGATCAACTCTGCAACAGTGACAGTGACGCAGAGACTTAACATATTTTGAAATCAATTTGGTGGAATCTGCAGGACTGACTTTGTTTATTTTTATTTTTGTTACCACACTAATGATTCCACAGCGGGTTCCCAGCTGACCTGTTGTATTCATTGAATGTGCATCTGCAAACAGCTCAGGCTGAGAGAGGGGGGGGGGGGGGGAGCGGCATTGACTCCCAGTGATTCATTGCTGCTGCTGCATGTACGTACGTCACTACCTCTGTCACTGGGGGCCTCGGCCACCTCGCTTCGGAGGGGCCCACCGCCAAGCCACGCTTTCAGGATGGAGAGCTTAATCCCATATCAGCCATTAGAATCTTAAACAGTTTGATGATAAAAAAAAAAAAAGTAGAACTCTCACTTGTCTGTTTCACACTTAGTTCAGCTATTGTGAAATACAATAAGATTACTAACACCAATGTCTGTGGAAACTCTTAAAAGTTGGCACTTTTCCACTCAAGCATAAACTCCATATATTTGTTAAGTCACCTTTCACAATGTGGGAAAAATCTTCCCATTAATCCTTAACAGTAAATCCATTTCACCCAGACATTCAGCCAGGGGGAAAAACTGAGTTGCAGACGTACATTATATACAGAGTTCAAAGTAATTTAGCACATACTGTGCACTTACGTACAAAAAAAAACAATTTAAGAGAGAGGAGAGGAGAAAATGTGATTTAGTAAATGTAGTGAAGTACAAGGTGTATTTTTCTTCAGCATATATGCCATCTTTATAAAAATCACATGTTATCTTCAGACATCTTAGGTGATCAAAGTGTAATTTGCAGTCGGCGTGAACTTGTTTCTCCTTTAGCCTCTCCACTTTGCCACTCTTCATGCTCCGTGCTGCTTGAGGGGAGGAGGTGTCAGGTCCCATCATGAGAAACACATGTTGGCTGACACAAATAGAAAAGACCGCCAGATGAGAGAGTGACTGCTCGTGGTCAACTCACGTCACCTCATTTTGAAATCACTGTCACAGATCACTGGGAATGAAATCCTCTCCTGTGATGCCGCACCGGAAAAGACTCAGGCTTTCATCATTATCCTTTTGTTTCCTCAATGAGGGCGAGTCTCTCAGACGATTAAAAACCCATTAATGATTCTGTGTCTGCAGGTAGAAAATACAAACAAAACAAATGATTGGATGAGAATCTGGACATGCTGAGTAAACGTGAATCTCCATACCTGACACTTCAACGTGCTTCTGAGAAAGGATTTCACACTGTCAGACAAACAAACTCTCTATGGCAACGGGTTCTTTTAATTGATCATTTGCGTTTCTAATTGCGATCTGCTATGAGGACAAGTGCTTCTCCACAGACTGTCCCTTCCTAAATAATTGGACAGCTTTACCTGCCGGATTGAGCTGTGTTTTTCCTAATACTTCCGGTGTTCTGCTCGACTTCGACAAACTCATTTAGCAAAACAAGGTCACTCTGGCTGTTGAGTATGAACAGGTATTCTGGTGCTGATCGCTGGAGAGCCCAGGGCTCCACACTTACACCACCGCCTGACCTCAGCACTGTAGCTCAGGTGTCCTTCTGGTTTATTGGCCGGTTATATAACTGTTATAAAAACACCTCTCTAATAGAAGTGGGAGCTTGGCCTTTCATCTTAAGAAAAAGGAGATGGAAGATTTTACAGAAATGTCATTTATGGTTTTATAATTGACAACAAAACCACACAAAGCTTTCTTACAACCAGCCCACTAATTATCTAAATGTGTGATGATGTTCAGTCATGGCAGTTTAAGGCTAAACAGACTCATTAATAATGCAGAATGAAAGCTGCTGACCAGTTTCCCCTCCGGTTTACTTGATGTTCATGTATTCTTCAGTGCAACTCAGCTGCTTTTTTTTTTTTTTGGAAAAGGAGCTGTTTTGAATTTGTCTTGATGGATGTTTCTGCATTTCTCAAGCAAGACATTTGAAATGATAAAATAGAACCATCTTCTGAAGCGCTTGAGATGATAACCTTTTGAAAAAATTAAATGTGAGACAGCTGGCTTATTGAGCTTCTCCTAAGGTTTGCATGCTCAACATGATGACATGAGAACGTGAGAAGCAAAGCTGTCCATAATGCAGAAACCTCTACCTCGTCTATGGCTTTCAGCCCCGAGCCTATTTGTTCCTATGAAGGCGTAAATATTTTAAAACAGGTCACAACATATAGTTCCATCTTTATAAAAAGCCTTTTAAAACAATCCAAGAACAGCTGCATTTCTTTAGCAAAGGTTACTCCAAATGTTAATAATAAACAATAAATGTTGCTGTAAATGTTGAATCTGTTCAGGACTATATAACGCACATTCGGTGTGCTAGTTACTGTTTACAGCAACAGGATGGGGTTTGTTGGCTGTTTTTTTTGTATACATATTTGTATACATATATATTGGTGTGGAAAAGGACAAAAGGGACAGGACTATAAAATCCTGTGATAGGCCATGTCACTGGTCAACATCTGGATTTAAATGACTTCACAGGACAAAAACATGAAGCCTCAGGTGTTCAAAATGTACATTTATTTTAACTATAAAATGAATAAAATGATATCTTATTCAGCACTGGCGCAGGAAGTGTATCTCACTATTTAGTCCAAATGAAATGTTCTGGATTGTCGAATAAGTTACACCGACTTTGCTCGTTCATAGATTGCATAGTGCTATTATAATGCGTATTGAAGATCTTTGTCATGCTTGCAACTGTGGGAAGAAATCCCTTTTCATTATTTTATCCTCATGTTCATGAAATGAGATATATATTGAAGCGTTACAGGAAATACACGTCCTGTGTCTGCGGATGAGTTCATGTCATTAAAGTAAGTGATGTTTTATTTCACTGATACGTGACATATTATGTTTTATTCAAAAGCATAAGGCAGCAGATGTCCACTCTGGACTGTGTAGGTTTGGCTGCTTCATCATGTGACAGAAATTGCCATCTCAAGAGGAATCCTGGGCAAAGTCATTCAGCCAAAATTGAAACCCAGTTCTCTTTGCTCTTCGATAACACACTTTGAACACAAGTGGTTCTTAGGGGCCCCTTAATCTGAACATATAATGTTGATTCTTCCCCGCATAGTCTCAATACTGAGGTTTGAATCACTTCTAACTCTTTATTTCAGCAGAATGATTGACAGACATCATATGCATCAGCATTGACAGTTATCATTCAGGTCAACATGACAGAAGACAGCCGGAGAAAAGAAACATTTCTAACACTTTTCTGTATTTTAGACTTAGTTTGCCTCTGAGCGCCTGAAAAATCTCTTTTTCTTTCAACGCAGCTGCCTCTCATTCCACGTAACAATCAGAAGCATAAAGGCTGAAATGGGTGAATGAGTTTCTTCCCGTCTATGTGGATGTCTGTCTCTTTGGTCTGTCTGACAGTGATCTGTTAACTCCGATATGATTGTGCAAGGACTTTTTATCTGGGTTAAGATCCAAAATAAGATCATCAGACCAATCAAAGTTGCCATTATACAGATTGAAATGCTCTTATTATGTAACAATTGTTTCCTCTTATTTAGTATTCTAAATGTAGTGCAAAATTGTTCCCAGTCGTTTTGCTTTGTTTGAAGAGCAGATAGAGTTTTAGATGTGGGATGTATTTATCGCTAAGTCGAGCCCTAATGAGAGAAAACAGGCCGTGTAGCTGAGGCAGTGTGGTCGTTTCTTCCTTTCTTCAACCAAGCATGTCAGCTGCAACTTCGCCCCATGGCATACATAATGGATGTCGACCATGTTAGACAGGATGCAAGCCAGTGAAGATGCTGTGAAATCAGCAGTGTTTGCGCAAGAATGAGGAAAACAATAGCTGGGCTGGGCTGTGTTATATATTGTGACGGAGCGGCGTCACAGAATATCTTGATAGCCCTTGTTCAGAAAGGGAACGAACCTGACCACAAAAACATAGTCTTCATCACATCAGAAGATAATTAGAGTTTCTGTCCAATAAAAACACACACAACTGACCTCATTATCTGTCTATGTTTCAATTCGAAGAAATCAAATGACTCATCCTCTGTTTTCTTTTCTCTGTTTTACTGGTGAAGATCAGAGGATGACCGTGGGTTTTCTACAGTGAGTTCCCAAACATTCTTCTTTTGTTTGTGTCTACGTTCCCTAATTGGTTTCTCTCTGATCATCAGGTCAAAATCAGAAATGAAACAAATGCACCAGGCCACTGAACACTCAAAAGCAACTCAGCACAAGAGAAGAAGAGATAGAAGAAAGAAAGAACACACGTAACTTATGACGCAATACTCCAAATACAGGCGTTAAGAAAATGATTTAAAGATGTGGGTTTGAGGACCATTGCTGGACTGAACTTTGTTCTCGGTGATTAATTCGATGGAGTATTTGTAATTTAAAAGCTTCCTGAGTTTGGCATCAATCAGCTGAATTAGTCAAATAAAACTAATGTTATGAATCAATCAGCAGAGGTACACACATTAATCTGGAGTGCTCCTCTGTCGAAAGCCTTTCAACATCAGGCTTAACCCTCCAGAGAGAGGAAGAGTGTGAATATTCAGTATGGACGCTCGTAATTGGAGTTACAGAAAACACACAGAGACGAGAGGAGGTAGAAGAGAGGATGGATGGCAGATAGTCAGACTCGTCTAGTAGATTCATCAAGTTGATTGACAG